ATTGGGGTTTAGATCAACATTTTGGATCCCTTTAGTCCAAAATGGTAACTAAAACTAAGCAAGCTTCGCCTTTGAGTTTTGGCTGCTCAAGGATCAAAATGTAACAAGATTTACAAGCCCAGTAAAAGTGTAAAATTGCGAGGATGGAACAAAATTAATTTTTTGCTTTAACTTTTTTGGTAAGTGGCGCAGAAACAAATTTGTTTATTCCCTTGGCGTTCAAAGTTACACTAGGTTATATAACATTGAAGTCAGTTTATTAAGCGGCAGAGCAATGCAAGCTTTATAGGGGAATCGATTGTGTCCGTCTGTCCGTGAACACTGTCAAACGCTTGGATTCGGTTCCAACTTTGCACAGTTGACATATACAGTGAGTTTTTTTTAAATGCGAACATAGGAGTTTGCATGCAATGTAATTTCCCTATGTTCGATTTTAAAAAAAACACATCAATCTATGAGGTGTGCGCGGTTCACATTCCCAAAATGCGCAACTTTTGTGACTATGAACAGCAACTCATAGTCTTTATCATGAAGAGCACTCGGTAAGATTTTTTTAAATAAGCCATGTGAGGCCATAACAACTTTAGGATAAATTTTTCTTAAACTTACGATAACTTAACTTGACATGGCACGCGCTGACATCACAATTCATTGTGAGCCAACCTTCAATTATTTGTAGGTAATGTGCACCTGGTATTCTACTAATTTGATCTATTCAATACATAAATGAAGAAAATAAGAAAATAAATAACCAAAACAATTACAATAAATGTTCGAAGTGTCCTCCTTGACATTCTAAGCATTAACCTAACCGATTTCGTAATTAAATTGGACGGCGGTATTTTTAAAAATTTAAAAATTGATGTGTTTTTTTTTAAATCGAACATAGGGAAATTACATTGCATACAAATTCCTATGTTCGCATTTAAAAAAAATTCACTGTATACCACATGTAACAAGCCCATTGAAAGTGGGTCAAATCTGATGACCCCGTAGGGTCACAGCGAGGTGCTCTGCCGCTTTTTTAGATCTGCTTTAGGGGTTTATTTCAATAAGGCCTTAAAAGGTAAGCTACAAATTTTGCAAAATATTGGAGAACTCCAAGTTGCCAAAGATTAATTGATTAAAAAATAAAAAAGTGACTTTTCAATTGAATTATTACTAATTATTATCTAATAATCCGTGCGTGAAAGAAAAGTTTAGAAACAATTTTATTTGACGCGTGAAATGAACGTTCCACATAGTAGCGCTAAATGTAGCATACTGCGTATAACTTTTAAGCTCTGTCGGCATTTTTAATCACTACTTGGAAATTTTATTTTCGTATAAATGTGAAAAAATCATTAGAAATTTAATTTTACTGTAATGAATGTTTTAAACATACGAGTTCCCCTTTTCGCATTTGCTTTGCTTTGTAGAGTTACAAAGCGTTTCGTTAAATAACGAAAGGTGTTTATTCTTTTTTATATGGAAAGGATTATTTTTCGAGCTTTGCAATTTCAAATTGCTTAATGTTATTACAAATTTTATCAACCAAACGTTGCCCTCAATGGAGAGTGTACCGCAGGAGCAGAAATATGTACTAAATAATTTGAAAGCATTCCTTCACGTTTGGTCTTATAGCGATTGTAAGCTGGAGAGCAATACGCTTTGAGGCACAAACGTTTGTGGAAAATGAATGCGCTATTCCTTCCACTCACCGTATGTAAAACAAACTAAGTACGCTTCCTGCCTTAATGGCACGCGTGAATGCGTTTCATTAAAAATAATCCACACCAGACATTTTCCTGCAATATCCTACGTACATTCTTCCAAGCTTTTTTGTCTACGTCATCGTCGCTCAATGATCAATTCTAGCTGCTCACATAGCTGTTTTGTCATCGGTTTTGGTACACCTCAATTATGTTTAATTATAATCCAGTATTAGTTATATTTTCAATCAGCAGTCAAAATTCTCTGATCTCTTTTACTCCTTCATATATCCTTCTTCCTCTTTTTCTTCACTTAAGAGAAGCTTGGCAGGAACTTTAGAGACCTCGGAACGTGAATAAAATTTGAGGAGAATTTTCGTGGCATTTGTAATGGCCTACAGTATCTAAAAAATTAATTTCTTTTTACCTTCTACAGTAGGGTAGAATTTGAATTTGGCAGTGTAACTTAATGGTAAAATTAACGGTGTAAGGTATTAAAGTAGGCACGTAATATAATTTTAGCCCAGTAAGCGAAGAATTCGGAATTATTGCGACAATATATGACTCATTAAGTATGTAATGAGCGGGAAAGAGATTCATTCATTCGCTCGCTCACATCGGTCACGTCAACTGTAAAGTTAGTATCGTGCAGTTATTACGATTTATGAATTAGCGCTAGAATCTGTTATTTAAAAAGTTGGTTGGTCCTATAGTTAAGGGCTAAGTAAGCTAGTGAAATTCATGCGTTGTTTTTTACGGGACTGAGAAAATCTTCAACCCTTTTCAAGATACCAATAGAAATTGAAACCCCTCTAATTTGGGTCAGCATTACCGAACTGCCCTTTAATTTGTACCTGAACGGTACAAATTGTAAACAAGTTCTTCCTTAAAACACGAAGTAAGGAGATTGCTTCTTTAAAACTTCGTACAAAAATATATATTGTTAACTAAGTTGCATGATATGTATCTGTTCCTCTGTAATGAATACTGGTAATACAAAATCAGATCGGGTGAGAGTGGCAGAGGGCGGGGGGTCACACTAATTACCATAACCATTACCATTCAACCATTTTTCGGTTAAACAGAAAAGTTATGAACATGAATAAATAAGAGTCGAAGATTAGATTGAAATCTAGTACACTTACGAAAGTTAAATTTCAAACTTGAAGAATTAGCTAAAAGATAAATTTAAGGACGTATATCTTTGTGTTAATATGAGTAAACTTGAGAGACGAAACAGCACTTCAACTAGTCGTGGTTTATACATATATCTAACACCCAGGAAAGACCTACTGTTCCGTTTGAATATCTTATATGACAAAGACTTTGTAACTTCTTACATCCAGAGCCGCGAGGGCTATTTTTATTTTAAAACATTCATCTAGGGATTTACCTTCAAACGCAGCAAAGCAAAATCTTCAATTTAATATTCCGTGACATATAAAATATAAAAGGTGACTTATATCTAATTTTAAAAATGTTTAGATATGGCCATATTCCCCGACGTATGAGTCAGTATACCTACTAATTTAACTGTGATAGCGTGAATAATGGTTAACGATTCTGTTACTTTAATCACCGTTTGTAATTTAAGCCGTTCCAACCTACTCACATGCTATTGCTTATCTACATCTAAGTATATGAAATAAGTTAATTTGAAACTCAAAGCACTAAATTTTATTAACTAAATAGTAAATAGTTGCTAACTAGATTTTGTTGTAAGGGTGATGTAAACCCCACATGATCAGATTATCGTTCCCAGGACACCATGTAAGATAACTTTTGTAGTTTAGTTATAACATTAGGCTTCCCTTTATAACGCCCAATCCTTAATTAGTAAATGTTACGGTGTATAATTTTGTGCATAATTTTTAAATTCATAACTCTACTTCACAAAGGAAATTGTTTTTTCTCAAGGACTTACAGGAAAACCACCCCAGCGTCGTTGCCTCATGAAAATTAATAAATGGATTTACGCGTAGAACATACTGCGTATACTTATTCTGACCGTCAAAGGAAAAAATAAAACCCCAGATCGAGCGATAATATCATTATTAATAATTTGTCAACCTCAACATTCACTTTTTAAGGTTGGAAGTAAACTAGCAACACCATAATATACTGTTTATCATTGACTAGGGTTTAGTGTTTCCTTTTCTAGGGGACTTATACCATTTATTTATTAAATATTGATTTTAATGAACCCAACGCTAAAGGCTGTTACGTTTGCAATTTACATTGTCTAAACACTAAGCGCTTTGCAGGATGGGGTACACAATATCTGTTGCCACCACCCAGACCATTTCCAACCTCCGCCCTAACGACTAATACCTTATCGCTCAGCATTGATTATTGGCATCGTGTGAGAACTGCCTGAGACACGATAAAAAATTATTGCACTCTCTGCCATTGCCTACCTCTAACTTCCATGTAATTTTAAACACTTTGATAAGACCTCTGAATAAATGGGTTGAAAGGTGTATTTCTTTTATGTATTATTAGAAAGACTAGACTACAAGTAGTTCGTCTTTCTTAAATAAACTGAATTACTGCTTTTATTTAATGTGATAAGACATTGTAAACTGATAAAAGTTCAGACCTTTCATTGTGTAGAGTTTTCTTATGGTTAGAAATTATTTGCTAAGTTTTATTTTCGTGTAAAGGGTCATCTGCGTTTAAAGTAAATGGGTTTAGATAAGAAAATAATTGATAACATGTAATGAACAAGATGACATTGTTTTCTTTATTGTCGTCTTCTTAATTTAATTTAATTTAGATAGTATTAGAAAGAGTTTAATTTTAGATTTAAGGTGTTTGTAATTGCTTTTAAATCACGTGTGTTTACAAACCCATTAAATTTACGGTTTTCTGGATTTTGGGCAAACCGAGTGTTTAAAATTGTTTATAAACAACAAATTCAATTAAATTTTGTTTGTAAATCTACTGCCTGTGGCCTATTGAAGTCATTTTCAGTACTTAGGGGTTGTTTTGGGGGTTTGATTGAATGGGAATTATTTTTGTCTGTAGGGTACAAAAGAGGAGCGTACCACTCTTGTAAGCTTGAGTGTAGAATTTTGAAAGAACAAGAGAGGGGAGGATTTCGAGAGTGTAACGGGTTTAATTACATGTACAAGGGTCGAAGACCTCACTTGCATAAAATCAAATTGAACTTTTACGGCACTGACAAAAATTCTACCCACGGCTAGCTCAGTAATAAAAATGTTTCCGGAAGTTTGGTGTCACCTCCTCTTAAAATCTGAAATTCAAAATCTAATGGTCTGATTTGATTGAACTCGGATAACACCACATATGACCTTAGTTTATTGTTTATATTATTATAAGCACAAACAATACAAAATATGGCTTGATTAATAGAAAAGGAATACAAATACGATGCCTATTTCATGATCTCGTATCCATGCTAAATTTGCTCCTTATCTAAATATTTTATCTTTGCCACATATTGAATTACTGGTACTGCTGTCCAAGCTAAATGCTAAACATTAATCCCCCTCCAGTCTCTCTTCGATTATCACGCACCAAACAATTTTACACGTTGTTATCACCAGACATAGTTTCGTTCTCGTTTGCTATGGAGTGGTATATGTGTAATTTTCCTATGCTGAAAAAAATACATTCGTAATTCTAAAGCGACCACTCGTTACAAGAGTGAAAAGGTAGAATTAGGAAAATGGGGGAATGGCATAAAATGAGTGAGTTGGTTTTCTGGGTGAGTTACTTACCCAGTTTGTTTTGCTCAAGACGTTGAAATTTAAAATAAAAATTGTTTGCAACGGTAAAAATTGTGGGCACAGGTAAATGTCTCTTTGAAAACCTTTACCAAAAAATAAACCGGGATGGAAAAGGTGGAAACTTTTCGATATAGGTGCTAAGTGGGTGGTAACAGTAGAACCTGGTCACGCATCTAGTGAGCTCAATCCGCTCTTACATCAAACCTTTAATGCAGGACTGGCCTCGCTATCTTGTTGTGGGCCAAGATACATGGGAGATATTTCTTTAGCAGGTTATTGTATAAAATAAAAGGGAACCGGCACTTACCGAAAATAATTGTTGCTGCCGCAATTCTGCACCTGGAAACAAATAAGCGCACTTAGTATTATTATAATTATTATATTCATTGCCATAGTGCTAGGAGAACGAATATTCACCAGGCCCAGGTGCAGCAACTAAGCGCTACTTTGATACCCAAATTCAGACTATGTTGCTAGAGAGGCTTTCCAGAAGATTTTCAGTAAACAGTAAACAATAAATTTCTGAGATCTTAAGATTGATAAAAAAAATTACGACGTAATACCGATTGTAACGATAGCATTTATTTGCGCTAAATTATCCCTTTGAAATTATGCGGAAGAAAAATGTTTAAGTTTAAAAAGAGCAAAGGTTTCAAGAAAATTCCACTAAACAAATGTTGCTTATGTTAAGTTCACGTATGTATTTTGTCGATTGTAATACGGCGAGTTTTCGTAGTCTTCACACACGTGTGTCCATTAATTATTTGTTCTAAATTGTGCCTGTCGCTCTATTGTCTGGCTTTGGTTTTGAATTACACATTTGTCCGCAACTTTTCAAATTAATCGAATATAGAAAAGCCGTTTAAGTAGATTCGGTGCGACATCGTGCTCCAATTAGAAAGTTTTTTTTAAATCATCATTAGTTGTCTAGGTAGTTAAATAGTTAAATAAATATGTAAATAAAGAGTACCAGTTCATAAAAAATCAATTTTGTTATAAATATTCCGCCCAGAGCTTTTGCGTATTTCATTGTGGAAGTTCGTAATCGTGTAGATTCCATTGAGTGAAAGACACCGTCCGCTATTATAAGCAAACGCGTTCGTAAGGGAATTTCTTGAGAAACTACCGCATATATCTGTGCAGTGATATCGAGTAAAAAAGATAGATGAAATTAGTTGCCGCACGAAATTACAACGAAGAAAACTGTTTGTAAAATCAAATAATATTACAGTTCATTATTAGTGCTGCTAATGCAAAAGTGTAGTTTGGTGAAAAGCTTACCTAAGAGATTTCCTGAAAGTTCAATCAAACCATAATCAAAATCAAGTTAATCTGAGTGTGTATGCAAAACGCCAAATTGCATTAACCACCAAATGAATTAACGTATGATCCAATCAATCTTGCAGCCCTTTAGAAATCATTTGATATAAACCCCAATTGACGAGTAAAAACGTTAACCGTAAGAATTCTAGATTTTCCACGTCGAAGAAAAAATTGTAAACAAAGGTTAGTCGTATTTATGTATTTTATATAATGTATAATTTACCTGATAACTTTAATAAGTCCATTGTCAAAAACAAATATTGATCCGTTGCGAACTTACTAACAAAATCTTTAACGACAGATCTTAAAGGAGTCGAAAAAGGGGGAAAATTGAAATTCAAAATATATGGTTTTTTAGAGGGTAATAAATGATATGGCCATTTCAAAGAAAAATATAATTATCCCAAATCCCAAACAGTTCCAAGATTGGGCTACTAGTTCAAAAGTTACAGCCCTTTGAATTTTCTTTCGAAATTGGCTTCTAGTCTATAACTTTTGATTGAGAAGTCTGATCGAAAAAGTACGAATTGTTTGGGATTCTACGCACCAAAATTAATAAGAAAAAGTGTTTTCCCGAGAAATTTTGGTGCAGTCGATTTTTGGTAAAAAAGGAAGGTTATACACTGCCTTTTTTGAGGCCCGCAAAAAAAATTGTCTCAGATCGACCCGGAAAAAAATTTTCTTATAGAATGTGGCCTGTAGAATCCATAATTTCAAACAGTTCCAAGATTGGGCTATTATTTCAAAAGTTACAGCCCTTTGAATTTTCTTTCGAAATTGGTTTCTAGTCTATAACTTTTGATTGAGAAATCTGATCGAAAAAGTACGAATTGTTTTGGATTCTACGCACCAAAATTAATAAGAAAAAGTGTTTTCCCGAGAAATTTTGGTGTAGTCGATTTTTGGTAAAAAAGGAAGGTTATACACTGCCTTTTTTTGAGCCCCGAAAAAAAAATTGTCTCAGATCGACCCGGAAAAAATTTTCTTATAGAATGTGGCCTGTAGAATCCATAATTTCAAACAGTTCCAAGATTGGGCTACTAGTTCAAAAGTTACAGCCCTTTGAAATTTCTTTCGAAATTGGTTTCTAGTCTATAACTTTTGATTGAGAAGTCTGATCGAAAAAGTACGAATTGTTTTGGATTCTACGCACCAAAATTAATAAGAAAAAGTGTTTTCCCGAGAAATTTTGGTGCAGTCGATTTTTGATAAAAAAGGAAGGTTATACACTGCCTTTTTTTGAGGCCCTCAAAAAAAATTGTCTCAGATCGACCCGGAAAAAAATGGCGAACTTCCATTAAACTACCCTGAATTAAGGGTTTTTTGCGAAAAAAATTCAAATTTAAAGCGCTACGATTTTCTTATACGCGAACGTGATAATTAAGTATACACGACGTTCAATAATAGGCGACCAAAGTGACCAGTATGTGGTTAGTTGACATAGATTTCCGAAAAATTACGCCCGGACCGCATTCGTATAATGTGTGCCAATTATCTGGAGTATAGAGACAACATTAATTTTATAGCAAATTATATTGTATTGCTATATTATATATGCGGTTTTATTTTGCAATTAATTGGTAATATTAAATACCGTACTCACCCATACGTTCCCTAGCTTCATCTCACCAATTGACATCAAATCGCATAATGGCGAAAGAATTTCATTAGGTGAAATTTCTAGTTGAATTTTGAAGTAATAATAAAATATTTCAAATGTATCCATTAAGCAGAGGCTGACAAGTGATGTCGGCAAAAAACACGATTTATGCATTGCGAAAGTTACTGGCCAAAGTGTTCAAATAAATGGAATGTTATATTCTATTAATGCCATTACTTATTAATTAAGTGAGGTAATGGGCGCATTTAGTAAAATTTTTTGATTAAGTATACTTTGTTAAAGCTGACGTAAATTTAAAGCCATTTGCAAAAAAACTGTAAAATAAGTAATGAAATGTGGTTCGATGAGTATAAATAAATCCAATAAAGGTATAAATCGCGATGTGACGTCATGTAATCCAACTTATACTTTTTACTTACTGTGTATATTATTCTAATACATTTAATGGGTTGTACTCTCATTATTTTGAAATGAAACGAGATTTGAAAAAAACGTTAGGGTGTAGAAAGTTCGTGATAGGATATTCCTGTCTTGTACCGTTTAGATATTATGAGCAAACACCCTATAAATGCTTCGAACTGTTGAAGGTAGGCATATTATATACCCTCGCAGATTTTTGTGGGAAGAAGAAATTTGTTATAGTTATTTTCCTTTGGGCATTGCAAAATACACATGATTCCATTTTATCAGCAGCAGTTTCTACTGTACTCTACTACTATATACTTATTTCTCATTTCGTCATTACAACTAAACGATTTCCTTAAGTAATCTGATTAGTAAAACTAAACTAAGGTAATAACCTTAGTCTTCGCATTCCTTTCTCATTGTAAATACCTTACTAACATTAATACCAAACGTCTAATAACTTGTAACATATTCTATCGTAAAATATACATCTGTGTATTTTGGTTATATTTTTAGTACCCAATAAAACACATAATTAGTTTCCAACGACATACCACAAAAGTTGAATGTACAAAGACATTTTGCGCAATGAATTGGCCCGTTTATACCACTGAATACGTCAAGCGAAGTGGATAGAGAATAAGGTGATATCATCGCTAGAAACTCAAGTTTTGGCAGTTGCAGTTCCCAAATTTTCAGAATTGCAAGTGATTCGTAATTATACTTCAAATGTACCATATAAAAATGGACACATTTGTATTGTAACGGAAATGCTCCAGACATGACGTCGCCTTTGGCGCTCTGGAATTTTCTACGCGCACGATAGCGGGATTGTGTAGGAATATTCGAGAATGTACTGGACTTACATTGCTTGCGTGTATAAATGGTTGCGGACCGAACATCGCGGCAGTTTACTATCGAACGAGATCGAGTACGTATGAAACATTAGCGCGCGGAAATATAAATTGCGAAGTGTGTGATATAAATAATCGATATAAATTGTACGTTTTTTTTTTGTAGTGTTTAGTTTTGTTTAATAAATATTGATATAAATCGAACCCGAATTTATAAATCACGTTACAGTATGTATGTAAATGTATGAGTGTTAAAAATTGTACAGCATTCATCACCTCTTTCTAAGCAGTAATACAGCAACATGCAAATATATGAATGTAGTGGTCCAGTACGGTCCTGATTTATTAGATTGAAAACTTAAGGCACGTCTCCGTATCGTGGGATATGGCGTGATTGTCTAGGGTTACAGGAAAATTTTTGTTCATTGCGCATTCGATCTTATCTGGTTTTTGTGGTACTCCGTTGCATCCACGTGAATATGATTTATAGAGAATTTATAGAGAAGAATTAAGTCAACCATTTGTAAATTAGCGCATGATTTAATTTTTGGTGGGCATTCACAATGAGACGCTGGCGGAATCAAGAGAGAAAAGTACTTTGCACCTGATTTTATTTTTTTTGTGACATCTGTATAGCGTGGGGTGTTATTTTTGAATTAGAATTAACCAACCCCGAAATTTACCACACAAAGTGACTTGTGAACGTTGATCCTTGTCAGCCTTGGCAGCTGGTCACCGAGCCTCAACACACCACACCACGAAAGCGCATCTCCGGAGCTGAACAAAAAGGAGGAAGAAGGCTAGGCTGGCCCAAAACTGCCCCAACATCGACCTCCCGTGATCCAACCCGGATTCAGAGGTTCCTAGAGCTAACTCCGGTCAGACGAGCAAAGGAGCAGGCGAAAGAGGACCCAACCGCCGACAAAGAAAGTCCCAACCACAGGCGGGTGTCAGTAAAGCTGAAGCGCCCCGCAGTCGTAGCTACAAGTCATAGATACCAATCACTCACTGGGTAGGCTTACGACTAACCAGGCGGATATGGTACAAAAACGGCGCTACATAGACCTCCAAACTAAACTAGTACTCACGTTCACGGGTTGGAGGCACTCGGGCGAGATTCTAAGAATATCGTGCGA